GAGTAGTATTGGTATTGATACTAGCATTAAAACATTTATTATTATTATTATTAATGTTGTTGTTATTTTTATAATTATTATCATCACTATTAGTTGTAGTAGTAGTAGTAGTTGTGGTTAAAAAAGCAGCTGTACTATTTATAGCATCGCCAAATTTATTAGAAGTTTTACAAAATTCATCTTCTTTATCTCTACCACTCCCACCACCATGATGATCATCATCGTCGTCGTCATCACTCCTAACATCACCATCATCACCACCGCCATCATAATCATCACCACGGCGTCCATTTTTCCCACCATTTTTATGGTACTTTGACCTTAGATGTTTTTTAAAATGACCTTCGCTTCGGAACCCGACAGAGCAGACGCTGCACTGATACGGCCTTGGATTTCTCGGGTTGACCTTTGAACCCTGGTGGGTTTTCGAGGCGTGTCTGGAGGCCAGCCAGCGGGTTTTAAATGTCTTATGGCATCTCTGGCATTTGTGGGGTTTTTCCATACAGTGAATGGTCTGGTGGAGTTTGAGGTGGTATTCTCTTGGGAAAGTTTTTAGGCAGATTTGGCAGGTTGGTTTCGTTGTTGGGGTGTAGTTGTTGTTTGTTGTTGTTGTTGTCGTGTTGGTGCGATCGGCGGTTACTGAGGCTGCGTTGCTGGCGTTTGGGCTGTTGGTGTTTTTGATGCAATTGTCTTTTAAACTGTTGTTGACGAGTGTTAATGTTGAGTTTTCGGTTGCATGTCGCTGCTGATGTTGTTGTTGCTGAAGATGTTGCTGAAGTTGTTGCTGGATTTGTTGCTGCTGAAGTTGTTGCTGAATTTGTTGCTGCTGAAGTTGTGGTTGTTGTTGTTGTGGAATTTGTTGATTGCCGTGACGAGGGGATAATTGAAAATCGAAACGCTGCTGTGGTTGTTGTAGTAATTGATAACTTAGTAGTAACTGTGGCTGATAATGTTGTGGCTCTTGATGTGTATCCATCAATTGTTGCTGTTGTAGTTGTTGTGGCTGCTGTTGTAGTTGTGGCTGCTGTTGTAGTTGTTGTGGCTGCTGTTGTAGTTGTGTTGGCTGCTGTTGTAGTTGTGGCTGTGGTTGCAGTAGTTGTTGCAGCTGATGTTGTTGCAAGAAATGCTCCCAGCACTTTTGAAAATCCTCGACTCGACAGTCGCTAACAACACTGATGGCATTAGTAATTTCAGTACTGGAGTCCATGCCTAAGTTTGGAGTATAAGCAGCGACAAGAACCGCCGTTGTGTTGTTAGTAGTAGTAGTAGTAGTAAATAGAGTCATATTATTATTATTATTATTACTATTATTATTATTGTCATTATTATTGTTGTTATTATTATTATTATTACTGTTATTATTACTATTACAAGTGTTGTTACTAATTGTACTAAATATGTTACTATTATTAATATTACAATTGGTAGTAGTAGTAGCAGTAGTAGAAGTAGTAGTAGTGGTGGTAGTGGTGGTGGTCGTTGCTGTCGCGACCGACGCTCCTTTACGCTGTAACTGTATAATAATAATAATAATAATAATAATAATAATAATAATAATGATGATAATAATAACTATCATAATAATAATAATAACAATAAATATAATAATAACTATAATAATAATAATAAATATAATAATAATAATAACAATAATAACGAGAACAGCCTTTTATTTGCACCATGAAATAAGAAGTATATGAAGAAGAAGAGTCATTAAAAAAGTAGTTAATGGTTATTAAATTTTGTTTGAGAAAAATAATAATGCAGTGAGTAAAGGTTTATAATCACTAAAATTTATACAATAATAAAATGGAATTATTGATAATAAAATATTTTTTACTCATTGCCTAATAATAATGATAATAATAATAATAATAACTGCTGACGTCATCCTTTTGTCCACTGAGGAAGAGCAGGCTAGCTGCAGCTTCTGAATCTAAAATCGTTCTTCGCATTCTACCTGATGACGATGATGACCACAACGACGACGACGATGATGATGATTAAGATAATGATGATTAAGATGATGATGATGATTAAGTTGATGACGGTGATGATTAAGATAACGATGATGATTAAGATGACGATGACGATTAAGATGATGATGATGATGATTAAGATGATGATGATTAAGATGATGATGATTAAGATGATGACGATGATGATTAAGATGATGATTATTAAGATGATGATGCTGATGATTAAGATGATGATGATGATTAAGATGATGATGATTAAGATAATGATGATTAAGATGATGATGATGATTAAGTTGATGACGGTGATGATTAAGATAACGATGATGATTAAGATGACGATGACGATTAAGATGATGATGATGATGATTAAGATGATGATGATTAAGATGATGATGATTAAGATGATGACGATGATGATTAAGATGATGATTATTAAGATGATGATGCTGATGATTAAGATGATGATGATGATTAAGATGATGATGATTAAGATAATGATGATTAAGATGATGATGATGATT